ACGAGCAGGTGTCCACATACTTTTGGTCATGTAGCATAGCTCAAACTGTGCATGTTATGTCTCCACGAGACTCCATCTTAATCGACTTAGTTTGTCTTCAATGCTCTAATGAGTCTTCACGTAGGAATCAATGGTGTCACTTGATCAATGGCTTTGTCAATTCATATATACAGTCATTTTTATGCAGGGGTGAAAGTAGAAGTCATTTTCTTCCCGGTACGGGACCTCCTATGGAGGTTAATTTGCTTTGGAATGAATTATGCAAATACATTAATTTTTTATTGTGGCACGGCATCAGTGAGATTGAAACCTATGATCTTCTGTCCTCTATCCATGGAATTAGTCCACTGCACCAATTAGTCCACTGGAGCTTGCATGTCTTTTATTTTTTTTTACTCATACAAAGCTGTTCATTTTAGTCTATTCAAACAGACCCCATTTCAAAGGAAATAATCACTTATTAAGATCAGGTGTGGCCAATTAGTGGGCACAGCCAGCACACCTGAACACACTTAACAAGATAAAGGATAGAGAGTTTTGATGCTTAGAACAGAATGTATATTTTTTAAATAACAATCTTAGAACGTTATCTGAATGTTACTAAAGTTTTCTTAATGTTCTCTGAACAATTTGAGAACATGACTTTAAATAGAACCATGAGGAAACATTATGCTGAAGTTCTGAAATTCCCACAGAAGAACATTGTTTCTTAACGTTCTCTGAACTATTTGAGAACATTCCCAATGTCAAACCGGCAGGTAGCTTAGTGGTTAAGAGCGTTGTGCCAGTAACTGAAAGGTCGCTGGTTCTAATCCCCGAGCCGACTAGGTGAACATCCTGTAAGTCGCTCTGGATAAGAGTGCCTGCTAAATGACAAAAAAAACAAAAAACAGTTGGAGAACGTTCCTAGAACATTACCAAAAATGAAAGGTTTTGGCACTCCAGTTAGTGTGAATCATTGCAGACATAAGCACTATTAAAGGTAACTATCAAAGATGTCTACACTGACGCCCCGTCTAGGGAATAGGGTGCAATTTGGAATGCAGACCTAGCATTGAAAGATGATAAACTGTTGTTCCTCCTGTGCAGGATAAACCTGGCATTGGCCTACACTGAGCGGACAGAGGTGCTTGGTAATGTGAGAGGTCTGGCTGTCAAACAGACTGAGATCCTGAGGAAGGCATCCCACGGACAGATGGGTCAGTATGTACAAACATGATGCAAATATTAAAGATTAAACTCCATATTGATGTTGAATATAAATAATACCCTTGTGAAACCAGATTGGCCACTGTGCTCACACTGGTTTCAACACTGGTATAGGGAGGTTATAGAAACACAGTATGCTTGAAGCCATGCCAACTGATGCCTGTCCCCCCCAGGTCTTTAAATTGTTCCCATTCTGACTCTTCGTGTAATAGGCTATAGGCCTAGTGGAATGGATGTACAGAAGAATTTGAAGTTGTAAAAGCCAATTATTGTTATCATATGCCTTATTCTTATCATATTATGTACAGTGCCTATAGAAAGTCTACACCCCCTTTCAAAATGTTCACGTTTTGTTACCTTATAGCCTGGAAATAAAATAGTTTTTTACATCCTACCCAACAACATCCAAGTGATTTCTTTTTTTTTTTTTAACAAAATCTATAAAAAATTAAAACTGAAATAGCTTGGTTGGATAAGTGTCCACTCCCCTTGTAATAGCGATCCTAAATTAGTGCAGGTGTAACCAATCACCTTCAAAATCACACACCAAGTTAATTGGCCCCCACCTGTGTGAAATTGTAGTGAGTCACATGATTTCAGGATCAATTCAGCAGTTCCTGCAGGTTCCCTCTACTGGGTAGTGAATTGTAAAGCAACCATGGGCACCAAGGAGCTTTGAAAAGAACTCTGGGACAAAATTGTGGAAAGTCAAAGATCGGGGCATGCGTATAAAAATATTTCAAAGGCTTTGAATATTGGAGCACAGTCAAGACGATTATAAAGAAGTGAAAGGTATATGGCACCACCAAGACCCTGCCTCGATCAGGCCGTCCCTGCAAACTGGATGACCGATCAAGTAGGCAACTAATCAGAGAGGCTACCAAGAGTCCAATGGCAACTTTGAAAGAGCTACAGGCTTTTATGGCCAAGACTGGTCTAAGTGTGCGTGTGACAACAATATCCCAAGCACTCCACAAATCTGGCATGTATGGCAGGGTGGCAAGAAGGAAGCCATTACTCAAGAAAGCCCACCTTGAATTATGTTTAAAATATGCAAAAAAAACACTCAGGAGATTCTGTAGCCATGTGGCAAAAAGTTTTGTGGTCTGCCGAAACTAAATTGAACTTTTTGGCCTAAATGCAAAGTGTCACGTTTGGTGCAAACCCAACACGGCACATCAACCGAAGAACACCATGGTGGTGGCAGCATCATGTTATGGGGATGTTTCTCACTTATCAGGATAGAAGAGAAAATGAATGGAGCAATGTCCTTGAGGAAAACCTGCTGCCCTCTGCAAGAAAGCTGAAACTGGGACGGAAGTTCACCTTTAAGCATGACAATGAAGCACACAGCCAAAGCTACAGTGGAGTGGCTAAGGAATAAAAAGCTAAATGTCCTTGAGTGGCCCAGTCAGAGCCCCGGCCTAAATCCAATTGAAAATGTGTAGCATTACTTGAAGATTGCTGTCCATCAACACTCCCCAAGGAACTTCACATAGCTTGAACAGTTTCGTAAAGAAGAATGGCCAAATATTGCCAAATCTAGGTGTGCAAAGTTGGTAGAGACCTATCCCAACACTCACAGCTGAAAATTCTGCCAAAGGTGCTTCCACCAACTATTAAATCAGGGGGATGGAGAGTTATCCAGTTATGATATTTCAGTTTTGTATTTTTAATGTATACTTGGGGTTTTTTTCACACACAAAAAATCCCTTAAGTGTGGAGTATGGTATGTAGATAAAACTCTGGCACTGACACAACAAAATGTGAAAAGAAATTCAAGGGGGTGTAGACTTTCTATAGGCACTGTAATTCCAGATCAATTTTGATGACAAAATCACTGAGGTTAATGTTATATACAGTGAGGGGAAAAAAGTATTTAATCCCCTGCTGATTTTGTACGTTTGCCCACTGACAAAGACATGATCAGTCTATAATTTTAATGGTAGGTTTATTTGAACAGTGAGAGACAGAATAACAACAACAAAATCCAGAAAAACGCATGTCAAAAATTGTATAAATTGATTTGCATTTTAATGAGGGAAATAAGTATTTGACCCTTCTGCAAAACATGACTTAGTACTTGGTGGCAAAACCCTTGTTGGCAATCACAGAGGTCAGACGTTTCTTGTAGTTGGCCACCAGGTTTGCACACTCAATCAGAAAGATTTCTGGCTCCCAGGTGTCTTTTATACAGGTAACGAGCTAAGATTAGGTTGCACACTCTTAAAGGGAGTGCTCCTAATCTTAGCTTGTTACCTGTATAGAAGACAACTGTCCACAGAAGCAATCAATCAATCAGATTCCAAACTCTCCACTATGGCCAAGACCAAAGAGCTCTCCAAGGATGTCAGGGACAATATTGTAGACCTACACAAGGCTGGAATGGGCTACAAGACCATCGCCAAGCAGCTTGGTGAGAAGGTGACAACAGTTGATGCGATTATTCGCAAATGGAAGAAACGCAAAAGAACTGTCAATCTCCCTCGGCCTGGGGCTCCATGCAAGATCTCACCTCGTGGAGTTGCAAGGATCATGAGAATGGTGAGGAATCAGCCCAGAACTACACGGGAGGATCTTGTCAATGATGTCAAGGCAGCTGGGACCATAGTCACCAAGAAAACAATTGGTAACACACTACGCCGTGAAGGACTGAAATCCTGCAGCGCCCGCAAGGTCCCCCTACTCAAGAAAGCACATATACATGCCCGTCTGAAGTTTGTCAATGAACATCTGAATGATTCAGAGGAGAACTGGGTGAAAGTGTTGTGGTCAGATGAGACCAAAATGGAGCTCTTTGGCATCAACTCAGTCTACAATTTTATCCCTGATGTCCTTACACAGCTCTCTGGTCTTGGCCATTGTGGAGAGGTTGGAGTCTGTTTGATTGAGTGTGTGGACAGGTGTCTTTTATACAGGTAACGAGTTCAAACAGGTGCAGTTAATACAGGTAATGAGTGGAGAACAGAAGGGCTTCTTAAAGAAAAACGAACAGGTCTGTGAGAGCCGGAATTCTTACTGGTTGGTAGGTGATCAAATACTTATGTCATGCAATAAAATGCAAATTAATTACTTAAAAATCATACAATGTGATTTTCTGGATTTTTGTTTTAGATTCCGTCTCTCACAGTTGAAGTGTACCTATGATAAGAATTACAGACCTCAACATGCTTTGTAAGTAGGAAAACCTGCAAAATCGGCAGTGTATCAAATACTTGTTCTCCCCACTGTATATGTATGTTATGGCTATGATAGTGACAACTTTCACGTTTTGACAGGTTTGAATGAGACTATGTATTCCCTATAACCTTATTATTTTAATAAAGTTATTGCTTATTTCTTTCCTTATCATATGTAAGACTAAATGCTATTTGTAATTTGTTTTGATGCAGGTATTTTTAATATTCTATCTAGATAAGAAAGTGTCTGATCAAGGAACATTCCATAGAATTTTAGAACCAGCAGTCACTAAACCAGTTGTAACTTGTTCACAGTAAAAGGTATTTTTATTGTTCAAACCTTATAATAAAAAAGGTTATTTCCTGACTTAATACAATTTGTTTGATGGGATGCTATTGTATGTCATATAATTTTAAGGGGCTGTTTCTCAGGAAGTTGGAAACATTCATCATTCAAATGACTGGAAATTTAGGCTCCCTGAGTTAAAAATTGCAATCCTGGCTTTGACACACTGCCAGTCACTGACAAAAATGTATGAATGGCTCGAAAAATCTACTTTTGATTGGTTGGAGGTTACAGAGAGGGCTTGTCAATGGTAGCCGTGGAGTTGCCTAGTGCCAACACCAACCCAACAGTAGGACAGAGGAGAGGGAGAAGAGGAGGAGAGAGGAGTGGGCCAGGGATTCTCCACTGCTGTCACCAGCTGAGGTGGTTGTGGTGGTGGGGGATAGGAAGGTTCCCAAATTGGCAGCCAGGAAGTTTTGGAAGCGGGAGGTTTTGGTGAAGACTTGGATCAGGGAGGTGCGGGAACTCCTGCTCCAACGTGCTTTGTTGGTGCTGTTATTGCTAGTGGTGTTGCTGCTGCTGTCGACAGTCAACACAGCAGTCTGGAACCATGAGTTGCCTTGCTTACACATCAAAGGACCACCCGCATTACCCTGTGGGAAGAAGTAAACTAGGGTTAATATGGTTGTATTGTTATGTGCGTATAACAACATGTTGCAAGCTAAATAGTAAGACGGACAGATCTGTACTATACCTGCAGTAGTGTCACAGCTCCAGTGCAAATGTTGTCCGTAGATGAAACATTCACACATTCCACCACAGAGGTCTGGAACTCCTGCAGAACTTCCTCAGCTGAGGACAAATAGAGATGGGTTTATTACTTATCATACCAACACACACACACACACCTAAGGTCGGTCCCGTCCGGAAACAATACCTACACTGTAAAATATTTCCTCTAAAATGTACAGCCACTTACTGGCAGCAATTGGCCAGTAAGTTACTGTAATTTATTTTACAGTACAGCTACTGTACTCCATTTTACAGTACCAAAATGTTTACTTTAATCTAATTTACAGTACCAAGTCAGTTACTAATTTACAAGTACCAATTACAATTACTGCAATTACCCAGTGACATATTACCCAGTGTTCTTTGCAAGTTTTCATTTTTACATTTTGGTCATTTAGCGGCGCTCTTGTCCTTATCAACTTACAGTCGGTGCAGTCAACCAAGGTTGATAAAAGTCATAGCATGTAAATGTTTCTATAACCATTACTGAAAATGTTGTTGTAGTTAAGGAAATACTGGTCTTTAAAATAATTGTAATTACAACAAGATATCTTATGATGATATATCTCTGACTATCTCTGGATAGTGCCAATACATTACTGAGATATTCACGGTAACTTGCCAGCTTCCTGTAAATTACTATAACTTCAAAGCAATGAAACACAGTACAATACTGTAAGGGACTGTAAATAAACTGTAAGAAAGTACTTTTCTACAGTATTTCACTGTAATTACAAGGGATTAGAGCAAGCAGGTTGGCTGCTAGGGATTTGTATATTACAGCATATTAATGAGGCCTAGAGGCCTAAACAAAGGCTTCCAAACTGGCTGTGATTACAGGGCAAAACAGATCAAATGGACATGGTTAAATATTCAACCATTAAAGGTTTAAGACCTGCTGCCACTCTGATCCGTCCCCTAAATACATTAAAATTGTTAGGGAACTACTATCACATATCACTTAAATTGGTACAGGACTCTCACTACTGGGTGCAACAATTATAGCCACTTACAAGGCACGCCTTAAAATATGTTAACGAGACAGTGATTAATTCCCCTCCCACAATGAACAATAATTTATTACATTTGTAAAGCGCTTTTCATTATACAGAATAATCTCAAATTTACAATTAAAACCAAATAGACAGGGCAACTGACACAAAGAACACAGCTGACGCTACAAGGGACAAGGTCACCAAGGAGTACAGCTATCAACAGAAAGCCTTCATAAAGAGAACAGTCTTTAGGCCCCTTTCAAAGGAGCTCAGAGTCTGTGGTGCCTTCAGGTGGTCCAGGAGGGCATTCTAGAGGCTCGGGGTGGTCGAGCTGAAAGCCCGACCCCCCCCCCCCCCCCCCCCCCCCCACCCCCCCCCCCCAAGGAGCGGAGCTTGGTCCTTGGGGTGTGGAGGAGCAGGCCATTGCTTGACCCGAGAGTGCGGGTGGGGTTATGGTATTTGAGATAAGGAGGGGCATTTCCATGACTACACTGGAAAGTCAGCAGGAGGGTTTTTTATTAAATCCGGAATGAGACAGGGAGCCAGTGCAAAGATGCCAGGATGGGGAAGATGTTTCTGCACTCTCATCAGGATCCTGACAGTGCTGTTCTGGATGTATTGGCACTTCTGGAGACTCCTGCCAGGGATCCCGACGAAGAGTGTGTTGCAGTAGTCCAGGCTTGAGGAGATAAAGGCATGGACAAGGTTCTCTGCATCAGACTGAGTGAGGGTGGGACGGAGTTTGTCAATGTTCTTGAAGTGATAGAATGACACTTCACACAGTTATTTGATGTAGCTGCTTAAGGTCAGGGAGGAATCAAGCTTTACACCCAGATTGGAAACTGCGGGGGCGAGAGGGAGGTGTGTTATTGGTGAATGCTGGACCTGGTGGGGGGCGCCAACAAGTAGGGCCTCGGTTTGCTGCTGTTCAGTTGAAAGAAGTTTTGCTTCATCCATGCCCTTATCCCCTCAAGGCAGGTGTTCCGACGGGCACATGCATCAGAGGGACTTGGGGTAGTTTTTACATACAGCTGGGTGTCATCAGCATAGCAGTGGAATGAGATTCCATGCCGGCTCATGACACGACCGAGGGGAAGCATGTACAGGACGAGTAGGATGGGTCCAAGATTAGATCCTTGTGGGACACCGCAGGTGACGTGGTGGGTCCAAGACCTGGATGAAAGGAAAGGAAAGGAAAGGGGGATACCTAGTCAGTTGTACAACTGAATGCGTTCAACTGAAATGTTTCTTCCGCATTTAACCCAACCCTCTGAATCAGAGAGGTGCGGGGCTGCCTTAATCGACATCCACGTCATCGGTGCCCGGGGAACAGTGGGTTAACTGCCTTGCTCAGGGGCAGAACGACAGATTTTGACCTTGTCAGCTCGGGGATTCGATCCAGCAACCTTTCGATTACTGGCCCAACACTCCTACCAATGCACCATAATTTACAGTATGCTGCATTAAATATACAGCAATACAGTACTTTATTGTTGAATTGTATTGAAAAATAATTCAGGAATTGCTAATAGTGAATATGTAATTATATATTACAGCATACCAGCTTACTATACACTCAGTGGCCAGTTTATTAGGTACCCCGCTCAGACAGTGAGTCACGTGGCCATGGCTTGCTATATAAAGCAGGCAGACAGGCATCAAGGCATTGCTACTGTTCGATTTAACGTTAGAATGGGCAAAAGGAGTGACCTAAGCAACTTTGAGCGTGGTATGATCATCGGTGCCAGGCGCGCCGGTTCCAATATCTCAGAAATGGCCGGCCTCCTGGGCTTTTCATGCACGACAGTGTCTAGGGTTTATCAAGAATTGTGCGACAAACAAAAAACATCTAGTCAGCGGCAGTACTGTGGGCAATCAGCTCGTGGATGAGAGAGGTCGAAGGAGAATGGCAAGAATCGTGTAAGCTAACATGTGGGCCACAAACAGGCAAATAATGGCGCAGTACAACAGTAATGTGCAGAACGGCATCTCGGAACGCGCAACGCGTCTGTCCTTGTCACGGACGGGCTATTGCAGCAAACGACCATACCGGGTTCCACTGTTATCAGCTAAAAACAAGAAGAAGCGGCTCCAGTGGACACGCAATCACCAACACTGGACAATTGAGGAGTGAAAAAACATTGGCTAGTCCGACAAATCCCGGTTCCTGTTGCGTCATGCTGATGGGAGAGTCAGGATTTGGCATAAGCAGCATGAGTCCATGGCCCCATCCTGCCTGGTGTCAACATTACAGGCTGGTGGCTCTGGTGTGGGGAATGTTTTCCTGGCACATGTTAGGTTCCTTGATGCCAATTGAGCAACGTTTGAATGCCACGTTTGAATCCTTTCCCCAAAGAATTCAGGCTGTTCTGTAGGCAAAGGTTGGTCTGACCCGGTACTAGATGTGTACCTAATAAACTGTCCACATTGTATAATTTGTGTATTATATCACTTACACATTAAGCCTTAAGAAAGGCTTCTAAGCTGACAGTGTCTACAGGGCAAAACAGATCAAAAGGACATGCCTAGCCATTCAACCATTAAAGGTTTGAGACTTGATGCCACTCTGATTTGTCCCCTATACAAATTAAATTGTTAGGGAACCACTACCAAATATCAGTTAAATTCATACAGCATTCTAACTAACGGGTGCAACAAATATAGCCTCTTACAAGACACACCTAAAAATATGTTAGTCATAAACAACAATACCATGCACCCACTAGTGTTCAAAAGGTTTTTGGCGCTCCAAAAATGCAGTATGGTACTGTATTCTGAATTACAGTAAATTACTGTAGATTTTCAGGACAAGGTTTGTAGATTTCCTAAAATGCAGTATATTACTGTATTCTGTGGGGGTACAGCATTCTCACTCACAGGTACAACAAATATAGCCTCTAATAAGGCAAGCCTTCAAATATATTAATGAGCCAAAGACACTTTCCCTGCCCACAACATTTTCCCACAATGCACCATAATATATAAATAAATAATGACTGTGTATTCTACAGTGTTTTACTGTTGAAATGACAGTCATTTGTGTAGATCTGAGAGTTCTGGATAGGTTGTAAGCAATATGGTGAAAATCCCACCTATCCTATCAGGAGACAGGTGGACCTACCACCATTGCTTACCCAATTCTTTCAGATCTACCCAAGTGCCTAGGCGCTATAGGGTTTGTTTCTGAACAGGGCACATTTCTCACAAACACACAAAGACAGTTGTCCTTCCACTCACCCCTGCCCTGACCTGTTGCCCAGCCAGCTACCCAGCACAGAGTCCCTGTGCTGAAGGTTCTGGTTCCCTTGTCCACACAGATAGGCTGGATGTAGTCAGACAATAAGGGTTGGCTGGCCAGTCGCAGGATGGCCACGTTTTTGCCCGTCACGTTGCTCATGGTGATGTTGATGACGTTCAGGGTTACCTCGTTTGGATTGGAGCCGCTCTGCTTCAGACGACCCAGAATCACGGTCCACTCAGAGGCATTGGGCTGGCTGGAGAGATGGAATGAGTTGCATCTCTGTTTAGTGAGGTCCTGTGATAGACTAGCGTCTTGTCCAAGGGGTGTACATCAAGCTGCCTCTCCATACAGAAACAGGAGATAGGCTCCTGCTCCAATTAGTCGTTCTGGTTTGCACAAGCCAAGGTTCGTGTAAGGCTACTTTACTTAGTGAGGTATACTAAACTCATTCCGATTTATTGTCTTATGAAATGTTTATGTACTGCTTATTAATGTGATATGTATGGGTTATGAATGTGTTATGCCCTAGGTAGGCACCCTTCATACTCAACTCTTTATTCATGTTTTCATCATTTTGCATACTATTAATTATTGTAGCAGGTTGATATTTTCTTTGTCTTGAAGTTGTTGACATAAGTATTCCTTAAGGGGAAATTCAGACCTGAGATAGTCTTGTTCTGATCAAATTAAAAGTAAAAGGTACACAATATTTAAAGGAATACATAAACAGAAAAACTAATTGAACGAAAACTTTTGAATTGAATTACATTTATTGAGTGCGAACAAGGGAGCCACACCCACAGAGCTCGTTACGTACCTACAAAAGTATGTGGAACCTGCTCGTCGAACATCTTCCAAAATCATGGGCATTAATATGGAGTTGGTCCCGCCTTTGCTGCTATAACAGCCTTCACTCTTCTGGGAAGGCTTTCCAGTAGATGTTGGAACATAGCTGCAGGGACTTTCTTCCATTCAGCCACAAGAGCATTAGTGATGTCGGTCACTGATTTCCAATTCATCCCAAAGATGTTCAATGGGGTTGAGGTCAGGGCTCTGGTCAGGCCAGTCAAGTTCTTCCACACCAATCTTGACAAACCATTTTGTATGGACCTCGCTTTGTGCATGGGGGCATTGTCATGCTAAAACAGGAAAGGGCCTTCCCCAAACTGTTGCACAAAGTTGGAAGCACAGAATTGTCTAGAATGTCATTGTATGCTGTAGCGTTAAGATGTCCCTTCACTGGAACTAAGGAGCCTAGCCCGAACCATGAAAAACAGCCCCAGACCATTATTCCTCCTCCACCAAACTTTATCTGCAATCCTCCAAATCCAGATTAGTCCGTCGGACTGCCAGATGCTGAAGTGTGACTCATCACTGCAGAGAATGTGTTTCCACTGCTCCAGATTCCAATGGTGGCGAGCTTCACACCACTACAGCCGACAATTGGCATTGCGCATGGTGATCTTAGGCTTATGTGCGGCTGCTCGGCCATGGAAACCCATTTCATGAAGCTCCTGACGAACAGTTCTTGGGCTGACGTAGCTTCCAGAGGCAGTTTGAAACTCGGTAGTGTGTTGCAACCGAGGACCGGGTGCTTCAGCATTCGGCGGTCCCGTTCTGTGAGCTTGTATGGCCTACCACTTCGCGGCTGAGCCGTGGTTGCTCCTAGACGTTTACACTTCACAATAGCAGCACTTACAGTTGACCGGGGCAGCTCTAGCAGGGCAGAAATTTGACGAACTGACTTGTTGGAAAGGTGGCATCCTATGACGGTGCCACGTTGAAAGTCACTGAGCTCTTCAGTATGGGACATTCTACTGCCAGTGTTTGTCTATGGAGATTGCATGGCTGTGTGCTCGATTCTATACACCTGTCAGCAACGGGTGTGGCTGAAATAGCCGAATCCACATACTTTTGGCCATGTAGTGTAAGTCTGAATACCAACTACTGAGAAGGTGTCCCGTGTAGCTCAGTTGGTAGAGCATGGCGCTTGCAACACCAGGTTTGTGGGTTCGATTCCCACGGGGAGCCAGTATGAAAATGTATGCACTCACTAACTGTAAGTCACTCTGGATAAGAGCGTCTGCTAAATGACTAAAATGTAAATGTAAGTTCTTAAATAAATAAAAAAGTAAAAAAGGCATAGATTTTCTAAGTCTGAATGGGCCGCTAAATTCATATATGCTGCTTATGAATGTGATATGCATGGGTTATGTACCTGTTATGAAGTCCTTATGAAGTTATCAAAACTTAAAACTGTCCAGCTGATCAGGATGGTAAAACCAAGAATTGTACAGTAGTTTGGGAGAGATGTTGGCTGGTGGCTCCCCCCTCTGGTACTCTACAGTAACTACAACAGTAAGTGCTTATTGGTCCCATGGAGTCACACCCAGACACTGGTTGACATGATGATGACACCATGACCATGCTTTCTGCAGCACCGGTTGTGCACTGTAAAAAATCTAAATCCAATCAAAATGTAGGTTCTATGACTATATTTCCTTAGAATCATGTAAGGAGTGACATTTCAACCAGCTACTTGCTCTCCCCTTTGACATACAGGTAGAGTTAACTTACCTAGAAAAGCAGCTAGCATCACTCATGACAGAGTCTACCGCCACTAACGTGCCCCCGCAGACGTGCGCTCCGTTTGTCTGTAGGCTGGCTATCCAGGGCCACAAACCTGCTGTCACCAACGAGCTTCCACCACCAACACGGGAGTTCAAAGAGGTGCTGGCGCTGCCACACACCACAGCTGCAGAGGGAGGGAGAGACAGATAAACATTTGAGAGACAAATAAAAGGGAGAAATCTAGTAGTCAGATTTGTTACAGAAGTAAAGATTCACATTAAGGTGTAGCCATAAGCACAAGTTAGACTATAGGTATGTGCATGCGGTTGTGGTTGTAGGGGCTGAAAGACCGGTGCAGAAGACACTAAGGTCAGAGTCAGTCCCACTGGAGGAGAAGGTGACGAAGCCTGGCTGGTCACTGCTGATCTGGCTGTTGATCCAGGTCTGGTATCCAGTGAGTACCCTGTTTGTTTAACATCGGACCTCCAGAATCCCCCTATGCATTGACAGATTTACAGTGTCACTGAGATTGCATTTTCACAGGATTATGAAACATAATGGGTCGGTTTCCCAGATGAAGCACAGTCTCAGATGAAGAAGCATTTTCAATGTGGAATCTCTACTGAAAATGCTTTTTCGTCTAGGATTAGGTATAACCTGTGTCCGGAGAATCGGACCAATATGTAATTGACCCACACTGTAATAAACAAAAAGGATAACCAAGAGATTTTACCTGACAGGAATCCTTTCCTCCTGCTGCTAGACCAGCACAGATCATGTTGTCTGTGATTGAACCTTCTCCATAGTTAGTTACACTGCCTGTTTCCCACTACTGGTACATCCACCTCCTGTAGGGTCTTTGGTGAGGGCAGGGACACTGAGGAGGTGGGAGACACACTCAGACAAGTAAAGTTGGTACTACATGATTTGAAATGTATTACTTGATCTATTAATTTTGAAGGTTTATTTGAGGAAAATGTATTTTGTCACAATTGATCACTACTATTATATTACGGATAAATTTAACATATTGACTATTGCCCATGCATTAGATTTAATCTCACCTCCACTGCGGATGGTTCCCCAGCCGGTGACCCAGCTAGTAGTGCCAGTATGAAAGGAGCTGCCTGGTGCAGCTAGGCAGACTGGCCGGATGTAGTTGGTAAAAGTCACAGGGGAGGAGAGCTTGAGAAGACACATGTCGTTGTCACTGGTACTACTGGTGTAGTTGGGGTGGGACATGATCTGAGTGACCGCCTGGTTCACCTCGTTGGGGTTAGAGACTTCTGGCTCTGACGACTAATGTAGACCACCAAATTTGATGTACTGGTGCTGAGAAAATATATATATATAAAAAAGATAACGGTATTACTGTAAAAGGAGGCTCAATTGAGTTATGATTAGGTTTGGTGTAAGAGTTAAATGTTAAGATTCTATCAATCCTGCAATTCCTCACCTGGAGAAGCAGTGAGCAGCAGTCAGCACCCACTCTTTATTGATGAGGGATCCCCCACAAAAATGGCTGCCAAATCTGTGCAGACTGGCCTGCCATGGCCAACTCCCAGCAGGAGCATCCTGACCCCCCACTATCCTAGTGTTGAGAGGAGGGGTTCCGCACACTAACAGAGACAGATGGATGAGGCTTTACGAAATGGAGCACACAAAGGAAGTGAAGAGATTGAAAGCGCACTAGTTAGTGAATAGGTGCATGGTAATGTCATTCAATGAGGAAAGTACTTACCATCCAACTGAGAGTGAAACCCTAAAAACAGGGGAGGAAAAAAACGTTAAAACAGTTAGGTTTTGGCACACTGTTGGCAAACATGTAACTTATAACTCTTTGCACCCTACTTGTTTTACAGTAGCAACCACATAATTAGGAATTAGAATAATTTCATAGGATCTCTATGGTAGCAACATTCAGTCTTAGAGCACAGCCAGCCAGCCAGCCAGCCAGTCAGTTAGTGTATTTAGTGTCGCTACATAGTTTCTATGTGAGCGAACTCTGTATGCTGTGTCGTGTGATGACTGTTATTTAACGAATCAACTAACTATGTTTAATTGTCACTCGATTAAATTAATCATGTAACAATTAACTCATTAGGAATTTGGGGCACCACGGAAGAAGTTGTTTAACGAGTTAACATCTCCCGAATTAAACTCTTAGAAGATATATATGTTATATATTGATAACAGTCACTTATTAAATCATTACCTCATCCGTCTCATTTTGAACGTTGCATAATCCTTGAACCTGCAAGAACCCTAACCTTATTGATGAATCAGCAATACACAAATTGTCTTAATAATTCATTTACTAACTAACTACAGTGAGGGAAAAAAGTATTTGATCCCCTGCTGATTTTGTACGTTTGCCCACTGACAAAGACATGATCAGTCTATAATTGTAATGGTAGGTTTATTTGAACAGTGAGAGACAGAATAACAACAAAAAAATCCAGAAAAACGCATGTCAAAAATGTTATAAATTGATTTGCATTTTAATGAGGGAAATAAGTATTTGACCCCTCTGCAAAACATAACAGTACTTGGTGACAAAACCCTTGTTGGCAATCACAGAGGTCAGACGTTTCTTGTAGTTGGCCACCAGGTTTGCACACATCTCAGGAGGGATTTTGTTCCACTCTGCAGATCTTCTCCAAGTCATTATGGTTTTGAGGCTGACATTTGGCAACTCGAACCTTCAGCTCCCTCCACAGATTTTCTATGGGATTAAGGTCTGGAGACTCCCGCTGCACGTCGGCTGGTCTGTAGAGGTTCAACCATTTGTAACGTGAGCTTGTGCTTCACGTCAGCGGGTCTTTCTCATTCAAAGTTCTAACCATTCTAAAAGTGCAGTTGCCACTCTCACGTTTTCTGGTCTGTAGAGTGTCGACTGCACGTTTAGAATGGTTAGAACTTTGAATGAGAAAGACCAGCCGACGTGATGCACGAGCCAGAGCATATGAGCGGAGTGGAGCGGTGAGAATCTCAGCTCATCGCTCACGGAGCTGTTCACCCCTCCGCTCCCCCCGCTCAAAGCCACATCAGGCCAGTCCGCTCATTATCGCTCAGCGCTCAACGAAGTTTGCATCGCGCTCCACTCAAATCGCCCCCTCGCTCGCTCCAAAAAAGGAAAGAAATCTGCATGTATTTCACTTTTAGCTTAAACCACAGCCTTACCTCCCAAAGAACTAAAGAGCAACGACAACATTTTCCAAATAGAAATGTTTTATTTCAAATTACAAATTAGGCCTAGCCTATGTAAGAAGGAATATACACAAAAAGTCATGTAAAATTAAACGAATCAATGGGCCTAATTATATGAATAAAAATATACAGGCTATACATCAAAGTTTTAAAAGTAAATTAACTATTAGGCCAAAATTCTGATAACTGAACTTTTGCGCAGCTTGCACGTTGATAAAAATTTAAATTGGCTTATATCCATTGTCAAACTTTAAAATAAAAAAAATAAAAATGAATCGCTTTCCTTATCTACAGTTCTTTTGAGTTCACCTTCAAGAACACAAGTTTGGCCAATGTCTGAGGCTTCAGACTCATGCGGTGGTTTCTTGACAGCAGGCCAGCAGCGGAGAAAACCCTCTCTGCGCTCGCAGACCCGCTTGGGATGCTGAACACAATGCGAGCTACTTTAGCCAGGCGGGGAAAAGACATGGAGTTTTCTTTCCAAAATCGAATAACATCTGCGTCCGGGTTCTGTCTCGGGGATGAGAGGTAATTTTCGACTTCACCTTTGGCGTCTCCGGTTATGCGTAGCTGCTCACTGAAGTATGACCCGAACAGGCGAGCTCTTTTTGGTTCAGACTCGGGATTCAGGTCAGCGGCGGGTGGGGTGTCTGTCTCGGGTGTGCCGCTGGGAGCGTTAATTTCTTCAGCTTCTTTTATGAGGAGGTCACGGTTCTCCCCGAGTTTGTTGCATACAGACTCATCTCGGATTATCCATTCTGTCTTGAAACGGGGATCTAACACTGATGCTAAAATGAGATGTTTATCAGTATAGTATATTCCATAGCGAATTGACACGTTGTTTGCCAATGTTTCTGCAAAAGCAGGGATGCCCATTGAAAGTGCAGCGTGAGTGTCATCGGTGAGCAGGGATTTGATTTCTGTGACAGCAGGGAGGATCATCCCCAGGTTCCTCAGCTCCTTCTGCATTTTGTCTGTGAGGTCTGCCAGTGGTGTCAGCACACTGACAAGGTGTGTCAGCTGGCGTACTTGATTCAGGGTGATAATAATAATATGCCATTTAGCAGACGCTTTTATCCAAAGCGACTTACAGTCATGCGTGCATACATTTTTTGTGTATGGGTGGTCCCGGGGATCGAACCCACTACCTTGGTGTTACAAGCGCCGTGCTCTACCAGCTGAGCTACAGAGGACCACGTTAGCAACATTAGACTTGAGTTTGTTTTGCCATAACGGGTCTTTTTGGAACAACCGGATGAACGACTGAATCATCCGCAGCTGACTGCTCCATCGAGTGGCGCAGGCATTTGTGGTGCGGACACCTAATTGGTCGGTTTCCTCTGTGTTCAGGGTGCTCTTGCGTACGCTTTTCACCAGGTGCCCGACTTTCACTAACAGCCTATTCATGTTGTCGTGCTCGTTAATGGCGTCTTTGATCGCCAGCTGAAGCATGTGAATGGGGCATCTCAGATGTAAATTTGACACAGTAAAGTACTGATTTATCATAGTTTCTACATTAGAGGTTATCACTTCTACATGGATTTGCGAGGGCGCAGGTGGTCCCTCATCCTCCTCTTCATGTTCTGCGCTGCTGCTGGCATCCGCGGTCACTTCACCCTCCGCCTCCTCTTCAGTGCCAGGGAGGAGGTTAAATGCCTTGATCATGTTGCTGGCACTGTCAGTGACGACCCGAATCACACGTCGTTGCACGTTCCAATATTTCAGTACACTTTCATACTTTTGGTAAATACGATATATATATACAGTGGGGAAAAAAAGTATTTAGTCAGCCACCAATTGTGCAAGTTCTCCCAATTAAAAAGATGAGAGAGGCCTGTAATTTTCATCATAGGTACACGTCAACTATGACAGACAAAATGAGGAAAGAAAATCCAGAAAATCACATTGTAGGATTTTTAATGAATTTATTTGCAAATTATGGTGGAAAATAAGTATTTGGTCAATAACAAAAGTTTCTCAATACTTTGTTGTATACCCTTTGTTGGCAATGACACAGGTCAAACGTTTTCCGTAAGTCTTCACAAGGTTTTCACACACTGTTGCTGGTATTTTGGCCCATTCCTCCATGCAGATCTCCTCTAGAGCAGTGATGTTTTGGGGCTGTCGCTGGGCAACACAGACTTTCAACTCCCTCCAAAGATTTTCTATGGGGTTGAGATCTGGAGACTGGCTAGGCCACTCCAGGACCTTGAAATGCTTCTTACGAAGCCACTCCTTCGTTGCCCGGGCGGTGTGTTTGGGATCATTGTCATGCTGAAAGACCCAGCCACGTTTCATCTTCAATGCCCTTGCTGATTGAAGGAGGTTTTCACTCAAAATCTCACGATACATGGCCCCATTCATTCTTTCCTTTACACGGATCAGTCGTCCTGGTCCCTTTGCAGAAAAACAGCCCCAAAGCATGATGTTTCCACCCCCATGCTTCACAGTAGGTATGGTGTTCTTTGGATGCAACTCAGCATTCTTTGTCCTCCAAACACGACGAGTTGAGTTTTTACCAAAAAGTTCTATTTTGGTTTCATCTGACCATATGACATTCTCCCAATCCTCTTCTGGATCATCCAAAGGCACTCTAGCAAACTTCAGACGGGCCTGAACATGTACTGGCTTAAGCAGGGGGACTGCAGGATTTGAGTCCCTGGCGGCGTAGTGTGTTACTGATGGTAGGCTTTGTTACTTTGGTCCCAGCTCTCTGCAGGTCATTCACTAGGTCCCCCCATGTGGTTCTGGGATTTTTGCTCACCGTTCTTGTGATCATTTTGACCCCATGGGGTGAGCTCTTGCGTGGAGCCCCAGATCGAGGGAGATTATCAGTGGTCTTTTATGTCTTCCATTTCCTAATAATTGCTCCCACAGTTGATTTCTTCAAACCAAGCTGCTTACCTATTGCAGATTCAGTCTTCCCAGCCTGGTGCAGGTCTACAATTTTGTTTCTGGTGTCCTTTGACAGCTCTTTGGTCTTGGCCATAGTGGAGTTTGGAGTGTGACTGTTTGAGGTTGTGGACAGGTGTCTTTTATACGGATAACAAGTTCAAACAGGTGCCATTAATACAGGTAACGAGTGGAGGACAGAGGAGCCTCTTAAAGAAGAAGTTACAGGTCTGTGAGAGCCAGAAATCTTGCTTGTTTGTAGGTGACCAAATACTTATTTTCCACCATAATTTGCAAATAAATTCATTAAAAATCCTACAATGTGATTTTCTGGAAAAAAAATTCTCAATTTGTCTGTCATAGTTGACGTGTACCTATGATGAAAATTACAGGCCTCTCTCATCTTTTTAAGTGGGAGAACTTGCACAATTGGTGGCTGACTAAATACATTTTTTCCCCACTGTATATATATATATATATATATATATATATATATATATATATATATATATATACAAATATACAGTGCTATGAAAAAG